ACTGAAAATTAAATTACTCAATTTTCAGGCTCGAAGTGAGCCAGAAACTGAAAATGATTATGGCTCAGACAGTTTTGGAGACTACATGCGTATGGTTTGCGGGGTACTGAAAAACTTTTGAATTTTGATTAACCTTTGGATTTAGTTTCGGTTTATTAGTGCGTCAATTTCTTCGAACAATACAGGAATTCAATTTCGAATTAGTTTTTTTTAATTAGTAAAGAAATCAAGTTACTTTGCGCTTTTTGCTAAAATGAAAACTAAATTAATCTATTTTCAGGTTAAAAGGGAACCAAAGGTTGAAAACGATTACGGCCCTGGCGATTTTGGAGACTACATATGCATGGCACCCGGGGTACTGAAATACTTTTGAATTTTGATTACTGTTTGAATTTCAGTTTCGATTTATTAGCGCGCTAATTCCTTCAAGCGCAGGAATTTAATTTGAAATTAATTTGTTTTAATTGGTCAAGAAATCAAATTACTCTGCACTTTCAGCAGACTGAAAATTAAATTACTCAATTTTCAAGCTAGAAGTGAACCAGAAACTGAAAGCAATTATGGCTTTGGAGACTACATGTGTATGGTACCTGTGTTACTGAAATACTTTTAAATTTTGACTGCCTTTTGAAATCAGTTTCAGTTTATTAGCGCCTCAATTCCTTTGAACAGTACAGGAATTCAGTTTAAAATTAATTTGTTTTAATTAGTAAAGAAATCAAATTACTCTGCGCTTTTTGGTAAACTGAAAAATAAATTGCTCAATTTTCAGGTTAAAAGGGAGTTAGAAACTAAAAGCGATTACGGCCCAAATGATTTTGGAGATTACGTATGTATGTCACCTGTGGTAATAAAATACTTTTATATTTATTTACCGTTTGAAACTTAATTTCGGCTTATTAGCGAGCCAATTCCCTCGAACAGTACAGAAATTCAGTTTGAAACTGATTTATTTTAATTAGTCAGGAAATCAAATTTCTTCGCGTTTTTTGGCAAAATGAAAACTAAATTTCTCAATTTTCAGGTTAAAAGGGAGTCAGAAACTAAAAGCGATTACGGCCCAAATGATTTTGGAGATTATGTATGTATGGCACCTGTGGTAATAAAATACTTTTACATTTATTTACCGTTTGAAATTTAACTTCGGTTTATTAGCGCGCCAATTCCTTCGAACAGTACAGAAATTCAGTTTGAAATTGATTTATTTTAATTAGTCAAGAAATCAAATTTCTTCGCGTTTTTTGGCAAATTGAAAATTAAATTTCTCAATTTTTAGGTTAAAAGGGAGTCAGAAACTAAAAGCGATTACGGCCCAAATGATTTTGGAGATTACGTATGTATGGCACCTGTGGTAATAAAATACTTTTACATTTATTTACCGTTTGAAATTTAATTTCGGTTTATTAGCACGCCAATTCCTTCGAACAGTACAGAAATTCAGTTTGAAATTGATTTATTTTAATTAGTCAAGAAATCAAATTTCTTCGCGTTTTTTGGCAAATTGAAAATTAAATTTCTCAATTTTTAGGTTAAAAGGGAGTCAGAAACTAAAAGCGATTACGGCCCAAATGATTTTGGAGATTACGTATGTATGGCACCTGTGGTAATAAAATACTTTTACATTTATTTACCGTTTGAAATTTAATTTCGCTTTATTAGCGCGCCAATTCCTTCGAACAGTACAGAAATTCAGTTTGAAACTGATTTATTTTAATTAGTCAAGAAATCAAATTTCTTCGCGCTTTTTGGTAAACTGAAAAATAAATTG